ATCGAGTGGTCCCAAGCTGAGATCTTGCACAGAGAGGAACATTGGTTTAGGAGAAAATTCAAGGAAGCCGCATACATGTTGTCCAACAACGTATTCAGCCAAGCCAGCGTAGAAATACGCAACATATGGAAACCCATCATGAAGCGAAAAATGGCCAACTCCCGCCAAACGGTCATCTCCCACGAAACCAGTGAAGCGGAAAATGGAAAGCGGGGATAAGTGAAAGTACTCGAATGACCTATAAATAGTCATCTCTCAGAAGAATCAGTCCAGTTATCACCCGAAGACGATTGTAGATACTAACAATCGAAACGTCGTGAACTAACGTGACTTGGAATCTCTCCACTTTTTATTTTTATTTTCTTTTTTCATTTCTTTATTTTTATTCAATTGTTCTATTTTTACTTGTATTTTATTTCACTATTCTTTCATTTCAGGTTTATTGTTGCTTAATATAATTGTTATTTTCAGCTATTCATTTTCAATTCTTTTTTTCAGTTGTTTTAGGGATTTCAAATCATTTTATATAGTAGACAATGGAAGTTGGAACTAGTGAAATTCATCATGAAACATTGTCAATCACCTTCAAACAAATGAAAAATATAGTATTTATTTCAAACATTCAATGTTATTGTATGATTTCTACACATCTACTGCACATCTTGAGATGGAGCTTCTCACCGGCAGCTGTAGATGTCAATTTCAACAAGTAGTTTTTATTATTAGCAAATAGAGTACAGTATTCAATTTCTACAAGTTCTGACTTCATACCACTGGATTTTCCGAGCTTTTGGCAACTTTGTTCAAACACCCTTATGAAAACAGAGCCGATATTAAATAGTTCGCAGTGTAGGTAGGAAACTCACTTTATATACTTGAGAGCTCAATAAACGAGAACGGTGCTATATTGCATTGAAACGCGAACATGTTATGTGAATAAGTTTATTGAATCTCAAAGAGAAAGGATTTCAGAGACCGACTGTGCTTTAATCATACAGTGTATTTCTTTAATGTCCCCCTCTCCTTTTATTTTTTGAAGTCAAAAAATTCAAATTTGAGATAATGAAATTAATGCATGAATACTTTATTTTGAAGTGAAATTGACAGATTAAACTTTCTAGATGGCGACTGGGCGCCATTTGGGGAAAAAAAATAAATGGAAAGGGGGTCTTGTGATACATCATTTTGAAGTTGCTGACGAATACTTCACAACCCTAGAATATGAATAAATTGATGGATGTAGCCGTTACTACGTGGTAGGAGATCATGATGAAGAGAGAAATGAACATTTCTGTTTTTTACCACAGTTTTACTGCAGTTTCGTTCTATATGGACATTCTCAAACTTATACAATAAACTAACAATGATTCATTACATTCGCCAATATATACCATTCAGGTACTTGATTGAGTACCTGAATTTACAGTTCACAATGCGGGTGTGCCAATTTAAAAACCGGGGAGTAAATTAAATCGATTTGATCATTGAACAGGCTGCACCCGCAATGTTTATGCTTGTGAATTTCAAAGGATTCTAAATAATTGAGTTTGCAACCCTTCCTTGCATAGTGCAGAATTTCCGTATCGTTTAGATTCGGAAACCCCCTTTTCCATTAATTTTTTTTCCCAGATAGCGCCCAGTCGTCATGACTTTCATCTGCCAATTTCACTTCAAAATAAAGTATTCAGGCATTAATTCCATTACCCCAAATTTCAATGCATTGAAAGGATTTGGAAAAGCTGAATACACTTATTTGAATTAATGAATCGAAGAGGTTTTTGTATTAAAGTGTATAATTTTTAGATGATATGATATCCTTTGATGTTAGTAACTTGTTCACTTCTGTTACAAAATCTGAAACCCTACCTTTAGTTTCTAACTTGCTATCTCAACACTTAACTTCTCACTCTACCATAATAGATATATTAACTTTACTTAAATTTTGCATTTCCCAAGATTTTTTGTCTTTAATAATAAATTTCAGAGTCAACCTGAAGGCCTATCAATGGGTAATCCTCTTTCACCTTTCCTGGCTGACATTTTCATGGAAAATTTAGAAAATTCCTTCATAATTAATAAAATTGATAAGATTCTCAGTTGGCATAGATATGTTGATAACTGCTTGGTTTTCATAGATGGTAACTCTAATGTAGCACATGATATCCTTGACTCCTTAAATAACTCACATCCAAAAATTAAATTCACACTTGAAACAGAACAAGACAATAAATTAAACTTTTTAGATCTTACTATAACAAAAACTAACAACAAACTAGATTTTTCCATTTACAGAAAGCCAACCCAGACTGATCATGTCATTCCTTTCAAGTCATTTCATCCCATCCAACATAAAATGGCTTCCTTCAATTGTTATGTTAACAGATTGTTGAACATTTCCTTATCTCCCTCCAATTTCAATTTAGAATTAAATACTTTAAAACAGATTGCTGTCAACAATGGTTATCAACCATCCATTATTCACAAATTAATTAGTAAATTTAAACTCAGATCAGATAGAAGATTGGCCTTCAACTCTACCACCTTGGTTAATTCACCTTCTGTGAGATATTTTTCCTTACCTTATTTTGATCAAAATATGTGTACTGTTATTTCCAAATTTATAGAAAATACCATACCTGGTACAATAATTTCCTTTAAATCTCAAAACAACTTAAGTAACTTTCTAGTAAATTCTAAAGACAAAATCAACAAATTACACAGAAGTGGAGTCTACAAGCTTGACTGTTCTGATTGTTCGGCATCTTACATTGGTAGAACCTGTAGACCTCTTTTCACTCGTTTTGATGAACATTTAAAAAAACCCGACAAATTTGCTTTTGGCCACCACATAAAATTTCACAATCACAACTTTAGTCCCAATAGAAATTCCAAAATATTACATAAAATAGATAATAAAAATTTCCTTAGACTTGGCTTGTTTGAAGAGATGGAGATTTCTAAAGAACTTTCCAACAATGATCATTATTTGAATACACAAGAAAACTTAAACAGAGATTTTCTTCCCCTTCATAAGAGGATTATGAATAATAAATAATCACAGTTTATTAATATAATTTATTGAGTTGACCCGATCAAAAAAATAAAAAGGGGGGGCATTAACAAAATGCACTGTATATGGTTATCATATCGAAACCTAAGTCCAATTGTTCCAGTGGTGAAAAACGACACCGTTATCATTCTCATCCACCGTATTCACCGGATTTGGTCTCCTGCGATTTTTTCTATTCTCGAAATTTGTTCTCGAATTGAAGATACCCATTAAACGACGATCTTTTCCGAAGATTGAGGAGATTAAACCAAATCGCCGAGAGAGTTCAAGGACATACCAAAAAGTGCATACCAGAACTGCTTCCAGGATTGAAAAAAAGCTGGAACAAGTGTAGTATATCTGAGGACGACATCTTTGAAGGAGTCGAAATGGAAATTGACGATTTTCAACTGACCTCGTATACAATGGCCACACAGCCCACGTGGCCTAATGCCACTTGATTTTTCCGTGGAGCATAACCTTTATCTAATATATAAAAATGGATGTTTGTTGGTTGGTAAACTTCTATATCGCTCAACAGATCGTGATGAAACTTGACATGTATGAGTAATTTGTCATAGAGAAGGTTTCCAGGCTATACTTTTTTCTGTAACTCGCCACTAGATGGCGCTGTAGAACAATTTTTTGAAAGCACTGTTCTATAACGCTGCGCACGCCCAAGTTCGTTGATTCTGATTCTGGAACTGCTGCTGGAACAGCAGCGATACAGCAACATAATACTAGTATGAATATAAAGACAAGAATAATCAGAGAATCAGTAAGATTTGAATATGAAAACGGATCATAATATTCTTACACCCGAAATTGAGCATTGTGAGAACCTTATCAAAAATTTTTCAGTAATTTTTTTCGTCTCTTATCTGTTTTATTTTTGTACTGTTCACAATAACCGTTGTTCGGTTGAAAACCAAAATTAGTGTTTCGGTTAAATTGCAACTCTGAAAACGTTTATCTTTGTAAAGTATGACTTGTTTGATGACCTGCTACTTTTTCAGAGGTGGAAGATGATGTGGAAAGCGGAACATTCCTCTGATAACAGCGCTCTAACCTACTGCGCCGGTACAGAAGTGTGACCTAAGAACATCCCCCATTCCTATACTATCGAATGGTTAGTCTAGATTTTTAGATTAGTAAAAATGTCTGTTGTTGAAATTTTAATGAAAATCGGGTGGAATACCAGCCATATTCTGCCCGATCTATTTATTTGACGATTACTTTATTGTTAGATGTTGTACGAGTTAGATTTTTGCGACAGATAACCAATCACAATTGCCAATTGCAATACTTGAGGCTGAAAACATTCATATAGTTCACTTCTTCGTTGCAGCTTTTTACGTTACGGTCGGTTTATACATAGAAACTGTTAAAGGGCCTAGAGTTGATCCCTGAGGAAGTTAATTTATGATCGACTGATTTTTTTCTTTGTATCACATTCGGTTTCACTGAGATTGGTTTTCTGATCTGAAACAGCTTTAAATGGAAGTGAGTACTAACTAAATTTTGTAAATAGAAAACGCTAGTTGACAATATGTTTGTATAGAGAAATAAATGTTTATCAAACACTTGGGTCAGTCTAAGTCACTGTGCTCAGGTGCTAAGGTGGATGTGGTGTAAATTAGTAGATAAGTAACTGTACAAATGAAGCTTCTTATACAGGGCGATGTTTTCCAAAGTAACAATACTGCTTTCCTATGGCGAGAAGAGAAGAAAAATCAGCCTTCGATTTTTCTCCTGGTTTCGGCTGCTGGAAGTTCTTAAAGACAATCATGGCATTGAAAAAAAAATCAAAACCTCATTGTTGATAGTAATTTGAATATCGCGTTTTATTGCTTTTGAAATATTTAAACCCTTCAAGATAAAAAATTGTCATATAAAATCCACTTGCGTATTTTGTTATTTTTCATTTTACTTTGTATCAGCTTTATTATTGTTTCGGACGTAACTGAAATGAATTTTGGAAAATATATCTGAGAATTGTTATATTTTCACTAAATCGAGAAATTATCTATACAGGGTGGTTACTTTTCATTGAGATTTATGCAGTGAGGTTACTAATGGAAGCACTTTTCACGTTGTACCTCAAGGCACCGTATTAGGACCGTTACTATTCTCCATCTCACTAAGAACTGTCAATATGGAATAATTTTTTGTTGTTGACAGCTGAATTTTTGAATTTTGTGGTAGCAACATATCTTTTTTGGAATTTTACTCTATAGAGCAACCGTTTTTTATTGATAATAATACGTCTTCATTCACCATAAAAGTACAATTAAAACAGACAGAAAAAGAAAACTGAAAACGACTTTCAGTATTAAGGTGTAAAGTGACTCGCATAGTCTCAGTTTCAAGTTTGGAAACAACTGTCTGAGGACGTTATAAGAAGTTTTATTCAGATAGCTGACATGTTCAGTGAAGCAAAGTTCTAGATCAAACTACAATCCTAAGTTTTTCATCTCGGTCACGAAAAGAAGTATTTCATTTTCGTTTCGGACTTAAAAAGTGGAGTTGAAGAGCTCTCTGTTCTTCTTGGGTCCAAACATCATTATTGCAGATTTATTAGGATTGAGCTTGAGCTTATGAGCTGTAGAAATGTCAAAGATAGCTGGAAGATCCTTATTGGTATGTGTCTGGGCACATCAAGGCGATGTACATTGAATTTTTTTACAAACTGTTAAAATGGCAGATGTACAATCTGAAAAACAAGAGCCCCAGGATAGATCCTTGCAGCACCCCCTTTGACACCGGTAAAGCATCCGGTACAACTCCATCCGCAATAACTTTTTGAATACGATTCTTCAGATAGTTTCCTAAGAAAAACCAAGGAAGGCAAGTTTGTCACACAAAATCTCGTGATCAATGGTGTCGAAGGCTTTTCTATAATCCAGAAGTGCTAAACAGTTCACATTCTCATCATCTGCAGCTTTAAAAAGATCGTCGATATGTGACAGAAGAGTCGTTGTGGTACTGTGCTGAATCCTGATTGACATATTTTCTCTTGTTCTTTCTGGTGAAATGACAGAAAATTCTTGTAAGATACTGAGTGCTGGGAATTCCTTTGCATCAGTAGAAATATTCTTTTGATTAGGAATGTCATTGTTTTACATATTCAATTGATCTGCTGCAATTTATAGTAGAAAGTTCTCAAGACATTGACATTGAAAAGTTTCCATCCTGTTTATGAAGAAACCCCTTTATCAATAGTCCTTTTATGTATTTTTTGTTTTCCACACAGATTCACAAACCTCTAGGGCCTTGAGTTTGTGATATCTTTGTGACACCATTCAAACTTTCATTTGAAATTGAGCGAAATAACAGCCATATTTCGTTCAAAGCATTTTGTAACATTTATGGAAACATATTGAATTGAGGAGGGTTCTTCACTTCTGATATTTCTGAATGGAATATTCCGTTTTCGACAATAAATGGAAATTTGTTGGTTTCTATTTCATTTTATCTGGAGGTGACTGCTTGAACGTCATAGATTTGAAGTTGTGTTTGAGCTTTTGTAGATTTCTGTGATAGTGTCCTGTGGGTTTTACAGCCATAAAACTCATGGAACAACTATTGAGAACTGTATTAACTATAATTGTATATTTTTTGAAGCCAGAACTTTGTACTTACTTTATTCTCATTTTCAATAAATTACATTTATTTTTTTGACGTTGTATTACTTCATTTCTTGAATTCATCAGATATTTTGCCGATGATGCAACCTTGAGCAGAGCAGTGGACGAACTTAAAACTCCTCAACAAACCCTAAATAATATCCTAGACAAAGCACGATCTGGTTTGGATCAAATGAACTGATTTTAAATGAACAAAAAACAGAAGTACTAACTTTCGAAACAAGAAACTCAAACCAAGCTGATAAAACTGCAGTTAAATTTTTAGGGGTTTATATTGATACACATTTATCGTGGGTAGAACATATAAATAACATACAGCGTGACTCACGGTCGATGGTAGGTTAGACGTTTCTGGAAAACGCAAAGCATGATTTTTCTGAAAATTTCACCTCTCACATTTCCTTACCTGTTCTATCGATCTAAAATATTTTCAGCATTGCGGCGTTGCCACTTCCAT